CCCCCCCCCTTCCTCAGCGTTCCGCCATCGCCCCCAAAGAAGAATATTAGATAAAATTAAAAACAAAACAAAGCATGACCATATAGAATAATTTAAGTAAGAAATGAGTTTTCCTTTTTGTGCTTGAACAAGCTTGAACAAGCTTGTGCGAGCGATAAAAAAGCACGTCTCAACTTTATAACCAAAAAACCGCAAACTGTTTAGAATATTAGCCTAATGGAGTAGCAGTAATTTTCCAACAAAAGAAGGAAGAGAAAGGAATTTGTTTACGTAGCATAACCTGAAGTGTTATTCTATCCGCTATAAAAATTGCATGGATGTGTAATTCGTGGTCATTTTATTCTGTGTGCGCATCGGGTTAAGTCACGAACGTTTCTACGACATCTATAATCTATCGAGGTGCTACAACATGAAGCCTCTGGCAACTGCTGTCCTCGTAATTTTGACTGTTACTCTGTTGTTACATGATGGTGATGCTCGCGGAGGACGTGGAGGAGGAGGAGGTGGTCGAGGAGGCGGGAGTCGTGGAGGACGCGGTAGTCGAGGAGGAAGCCGTAGTTCAGGATCTTCAAAATCTAGCATCACGAAAACTACACCAATAAAACCGGTCAGATTCCGTACTCCAGTAATCAAATCTCAAGCGATACGTGGCTCACGAACCAAACTGTTCACAAGAATCGCGGCAGGTTATCTTGTAACGAGATATGTACTGGATAAAGCTCCAATTTACCGAGAAGGATTTCCAGTCAATGGAAGATACGTATCCATTCCTGAGGAAAGAGCTGTGAGGCTGTCGTCCGAAAGAGTGAGTTTACTGGACTCGAATGGACACTTATGTCTGAGAAACTCCTCAACACCTCCGACCCTGAAAGATGGACTTGAAAAGAATCTCTTGGAACTGAACACGACGGTGATCTACAAGACAAACCCGGAGAAGGTAACAATACTGTATGGTGTTAACAACACACTGATTTCACTGGAAGACATCAAAGACAAGAACTTCACAGTCACGACTCGTGCTCGATACAATGTCACTGTCGCGGAAAACGCAAGCTGCACCCAAGTGGAAAAACAAGTCACTGGAACAATGATTCAGCTGTATGAATTTAACCCGAACAAAGCTAACATAGCCGGCATCAATTTTAAGTTGATTGTTACTCTAATCATGCTGATGGGATTGCTTAATGAGCATTACTCTTTATAAGAAAGCGAGGCTAACAAAAAAAGACTGTTTTTAGTAAGCTGATAGTTAAATTTGTACTATTAATATGCATTGCTTTATCGTAAATGATTTCCTTATGAAGAGTGAATTACACTCAACTTGAATTACACTTAATTCTGGTCAGCGGATACCCTGTTTTGTCAATTGACCATTATATGGATGTTCAATGCATTGTATTAACTTACACACAAGGTTGGCCACCGAGCTAGTCAGTGTTACATTTCACGTCAGCTTAAATATAAGACAAACTCTGCGAACGAACGTACGACTACTTCATAACCAAAATTTCCTAGATGCAAAATCAAATCTTAGCCTGAGTGCGCCATTAATTACAATTTTACGAATATATTGTTGTATTTGTCAACTTATATTTTTGCTATTAAACGTATTTTACCACGTGCTGTTTTAATGAATTTATACAACAAAAAAATTTCAAAAAAACCGTTTACGGGAGAAGAAGAAAAAAAAATTCAAGAAAATTACATTGCATGGAGCACAAGCTAAAGAAAGTGTGTTCCATTGGATTGACATACTTAAATGTCTTTTCACCAGAAAAGGGGATATCAAAGAGTGAGCTTTCTGACTAAAAAAATGAGAACATTTTTCCGTACAGCTATAAAGACAGTTGCTCTAAGGCAAATTAAAGCGAGGGCGTGAAACTTGGATTTCGGGAAATTTGGGGTCCACATTTCGCAAAAAAAAATCATCACCTTACAATTCAAATTATTTTATAATATTGCCGAATAATAGCAACAGAGTTTCTCTGAAACTAAAAAGTTCGGAGGCAAATCTCGTATGGAGCAATCTTAAACGAGTTGAAACTTGTTACGTGACGTCAGCTCGAACTAAAACATTTTTCGCATCAATTGAATTCCAAAATAATAGAGGAGAAGTCGTTACGTCACGTTGCCATGGTAGCAAATTTTCTGGATGACAACAAACTTGAAACGTCACTCAAAAAGCGAATTCGCACTGTCTCAAACTTCATCGATCTTATTCAATTTCATTTAATTTGTCAAATGTTGGCGACATTTTCTGGTGGTGAATCCGAAAGGCCCTCATCTAAGTTTAGGGCACGGGCGCATGAAATTAGGAAGTTTCATGTCGTAGTCGTACAACCACGGCTAAGAAATGTGCAAAAAAGCGTGATGCACGTGCAAAGTTGTTGTTTTGCTAATAAACCTGTAGCTTTGTTTGCCGTTCTCGTTACCGTTGCCGTCGTCGTTGCTCAAGTTCCCTATTGTTGTGATCCAGAAATTTTGCTACCATGGTAATGTGACGTCACACTGGCCCCTCTCTATTGGACCAGTCTTGTTATCTGAGACTATCTTTAGGCACTGAAACAGTTTCCTGTCGTCTGCTGCAGAGGGTGGCAAGATGAGCATGGATTGGTGCAACCTTTTCAAGCCTTACTACCGCCGTCTACAAAAATCCCCCCCAAAAAATTATATATGATGAAATTTGCGGTTTGATCATAATTATCTACTTCATAACTCTACGGGAGCTAAAACAAAACTGAATGCAAGGCTGACACTACGGCAACGGCTGACAAAATTAGCCTTCTACAGGAGCATTTTTGTCCATGGGTAAAGGAAGTAATAGACCTTGTCACGGTTTTCGACACCATCTTGACGAGTAGGCAAACGCCTGAGAAATTACAGTGATTGTGTGAGAATCTAATGTCGAATAATTTCCGTAGAACGGCTGTTCTGACAAAAATATGATTTGTAAACTAAAGCTTCACTCTTAAGGATTCTCCTGAAAAAAAATTGAGGGCGTTTAATGCACTAGAAGACCTAGAACCACTTTTTTAAAATTTTCTACACATTTGTCTGTAAGAATTAAAGTCCCGGGAAAACTATAGACAAATATATGGAAAATCCAAAGCAAGCCTCTGGAGTAATTTAAGTACACGTACGCCCCCAAATTATTTTAGGACAAGCCTTTGCTTTGTAGCTTTAGTTTACAACTGATATTTTTTTCAGAACAGCCGCTTTAGGGAAATTATTCGACAATAGATTCTCATACAAACACTGTAATTTGTCACACGTTTGCCTACTCGTCAAGATGACGTCGAAAACCATGACATGGTCTATTAAATAAGTAATAAAATCAGCACAGAATTGCTGACCTAAACTGCAATATCATCATGTATCATCGTGACATAGCTCCTTTGACAAATGATGGTCATGGCGTAAACTACTATACGGATGTGTGTCACGATCATTTCAACACATGAATGACGATTTATTCTACTACGGTACACAAACTTCCTGCCACCATTCGCACAACAATATCTTGCAGGGAAAAACAAAAGGAAGACGAAAACTTAAACTTATTGTAAACAAGTTAGAATTTCATAACAAACGACTCGCAAAAAAGTGGGTACGTTTTTAAAAGAATTAAGTTCTTCTTTTTGATGTCTTCCGGTGAAGTTGTGTTATTTACGACATCTAGTCTCGATAAACCTTCCACCACATTTGTATTGTAAATTAACCAACAGTCAGGGCACCCAACGTCAGTTTTTCGGAAAGTATCTGTTCGGAAGACGATTGGAGATCTAGAATTTTCGGAGCATTTATTGTAAAGGTTCCTGCTTGCCTGCCTCTCCTAGGATTTTCGAACATCTCAAGGTGACCTAGAATTTTCGGGAGCCTTTTTTTCTGGCTGAAATTTTCGAAAAACTAAGATTTGATCCCTATAATTTTCGGATCACTAGACTTTCAGTTAGGAAATCCGAACAGATGAAAAATTTTTAAGGGATAAAAATATGCCTATACCTACTGTTTAAATACTAAAATACGTTCAACAATGCTCTGCTTAAGTGGTTTTGAACCATGTTCTCGTTGGGTGCCCCTGAACAGTCATCTTCAGTGACTTCAGTTCCAACAGATTCTTTACTATTCTAATGGTTACTGATTTAGAAGTCTGGTTATCTCATAAAGCCAGGTTCCTAACACATTGAAAGACGTTTAGGGTATTGTTCTAGTAGTTGTGTAGGGATAGGAGGTTCGTTTATGTAGAATGTTTCGTATGCTCTGCATACCGTGTGTATTCCCTTTTCTTGAGATATATTTGTATCAGGCTCGTTACATCCATTGAAACAAGTATGACGTCCGCAGGGACTTTCGTATTTTCTATGTACGAATTTTGCTGTACAGTTCTGCTATAGTCTGAAGGAGTTTGTCGATTATCGATGATAATTTCTCTGTAGGGCCATCACACCCCTGTTTCCTTGCAATGGTCCAGAGCAACTAAATGAGAATTATAGCAACCAGCAAAAACACTGGCCGAGCAGATGAAGAGACATCTCTTGGTCCATGGCTTGGGCATGTTGGGACGGACCCGCTCCCGAAACGGCGATGCGACTCCGACTAAAGTTCAGTAGTCAAACTGACAACTGTGAATAATTAACACACGCTTTAATATATATACTATGCGCGAAGTCTAATAGAGTTGTTAACAGTAAAATGTCGCCATCGCGCAAATGACATATGGAAACTACATCTATAGTTTTAAGCTAAGTAAAATTACAAATCCTAGACGGTTTTTAAATTACTTACAAAGTGTTTTGAACACAGTATGACAGCTATCTTCGACTATCTACTACAGCAACAACAACAGTCACATAAATAGCACGCATAGATGTGACAGATGAGAAATAAAAAAATTATCATGGAACCAATTATTAGTAAGATTAAATGAGAAATGAAATAAGGATGAATTTCGTACATCTCAATCATTGTTCCATTGATTTGTTTTTCCACTTGTGTACAGTCAGTGTCTATTAAGACGGTGACATTGTAACGAGCAAGAATCGCAACAGTGAAGTTCTTCTCTTTGATGTCCTCCAGTGAAATTGTGTTGTTAACGCCATACAGTATAGTTTTATATACGTTCTCCGAGTTTTTCTTGTAGATCACAGTTGTTTTCAGTTCCACGAGTTTCTTTTCCAGTCCTTCTTTCAGGGTTCGAGGTATTGAGGAGTAACCCAGACATAAGTTTCCATTCGAGTCTAGTAAACTCACTCTTTCGGACGAAATTCTTACGGCTCGCTCCTCAGGAATGGACACGTATTTTTCATGGCCTGGAAATCCTTCACGGTAAACTGGAGCTTTATTTAGGGCATATCTCATTACGAGATAACCAGACGCAACTCTTGTAAATAGTTTGGTTCGTGATCCACGTATCGCTTGAGATTTGATTACTGGAGTACAGAATTTCACTGGTTTTATTGGTGTAGTTTTGCTGAGCTTTGAGCTTGAAATTAACCAACATTCATCCGCACCTCTAACATCATGTAGCAACAGAACAGCAAAAACCAAAATTACGAGGACAACTGTCAAAGTCTTCACCTTGATGAAACGGTGGTACGATGGTACCTTGATGAAACGGCTTCGACCTAATTCTAATACGCACTCGCAAAATAAACTGATCACGAATTACAAAAATATGCAATTTATAGACAGCGGATAAGGAAAATATTTCAGGTAAATTTACAAAATTAAGGTTAAGCTATTTTTCGTAGAGAAAGGAAACCTAAATTTTCGGAATCGAAAATACAATGCAGGGAGGAATCAGAAAAATTCTCACATTCGTAAAACTTTAAATTGCAGCTAAAATTTTCGGTAAAATAATACTGAAGCCCTTGTCATTTCTAATAGACTTACTGGACTCAAATGGAAACTTATGTCTCACTCTGGGAAACTCCTCAATACCTCGGACCAAAGGGGGGAATTTCATATATCCCATGATGCATCGCTTCATACTATATTATCAAGCTTCCGAACGCACGTGATGCTATCAGTTCAACCGGGACGTGACAGTTGAACAGCAGTGGAAAGCGACTTGTTCTGCCGAAAAAACTTTCTGTACCTTTGCTGTGTCGATCTATTTACCATTTTCGTTTTACTATTCCAGATATTTCTTTTGTTAAGTCAAAGGGAGTGTTTTGGCCGCCGATTCTGAGTTAACTAGCCTTACGATAGCAGCGAGGAAGGTCTTTGCTTCAGTACATCCTGTTTTAACGCGCGTTGATAAAGCTCTCCATGGATTAACAAGCGATTTCCACGAACTTGTCTTGAAATAAATACATATTCTAGGTGTGAGATTTCTCTTCGTTGCTTGTTGGTGATCGCGGTGTTCATATTGTCAGTTCAATAATTCATCGATGCAGTGCATGAACCTTACGGTGACCGCACATGCTTTTACTTCAATAAGCTCGGCTTATGTAGTCGAAAATACCAAGACCGTTAAAGTGCAAAGTGACGTCTATCGGAGATAAAATTCAAAGGAGGGAAATAGCTCCAACAAACAATAAAAATAACAAAGACATCTCTATATTTTTCGTAACACAACACCAGCTAAGCATCATTGTCAAACATAAACAGAAAAAAGCTTTATTAAGAAATGCAAAATACATATACAAAAACACCCACTTCTTCACTACAGTGGATCCTAAAAGAATTATCAAAATGTCTTAAAAGGTTTTATACACCAGTTGAGGTCCTACGGCGTGCTATTCAATGACATTTGCAAGCCTGTATTTTTCAAGTTCGCCACGCGCGGTTGCGACCGGAAGCCACCATGAGAAACCAATTTTACCTAAAATAATGAGACAAAAAAGCTTTAATAACTATAAACCATTGAATTTAAACATTCATCATACCCTCAAGAGATAATATTTGTGTTTTGATCAGCGAAAAAAGAGCGAGTTCAAGAAAAAATGTCCCATCTTCGCAGGACTTAGCATAAAGAAAGTGAAACCTTCGTCTTGCATCTTAGCGGAGAAAGGGCAGAAAATGCGATATTTCAAAACGATCAAACCCATAAAAATCGCGAGGTCGAAAGAGGTCGGAGCGTGGAACTAGTATCAAGCACCCCTTGTCCGCCGATTTAAATAATTTATTAGGGCAAAACCTTGCTAGAATAAAGACAGTTTTCGATAATTGAAAGTCACCTATATAAATATTCACTTGCGAGTTAAAACAGCATGGCTTAACAGGGTCGTAAACGAGAGCAATAATGCGTGAAATGACCATGGAACCATTTAACATTATTAATAAGATACCAAAGATTAACAGGGTTCATTGAAACTTACCTTGGATGAGCTGCATCTTGAAATTCAGGTTGTTGAAAATCTCACTCGAAACCCTCGAACGCTCTTTCCACCGCGGAGAGAAGACAGAAATTTGCCGCGAAGCATCACGGGATATATGAAATTCCCCCCTTTCCTCGGACCCTAAAAAACAGAATAGAAAAGAATCTGTTTGAACTGAACACGACTGTGATCTACAAGACAAACCTGGGGAAGTAATCAGAATGTACGGCGGCGTTGATAACACAGTTTCACTGGAAGACATCAAAGACAAGAACTTCACAGTTACGACTCGTGCTCGGTATAATGTCACAGTCGTAGAAAATACTGATTGTACCCAAGTGGAAAAGCAAATCAATGGAACAATGATTTTTTTGTATGAGTTTAACCCCAATGCAGAAAACGACTATACGGGTATCATCATAATCGTAATTACTGCGGTTATTATTGTTGTTAATGGAGGTCCACCTCTGTGCATAACGTTATTAGATCGCTGTTGCTAGCCACGGCGTTATTAGATTTGTAGTTTTGTTTTTACGAGGCTTGAAAGTAGATCTCTAGTGTAGATTCCGCCGTCTTGTTTGACTTCCTCAGAGTAATTCTACCACACCGGTTTATTATTGACATCAATTGTATAACTCGCTCTGACGCGCATTATTACCCAAGTGGAACGAATGAACTTATTTTTTCCGTTCTACTTATATGTATAAGACCCAGTCCAGACACTATACCGTCCGAAATGGGGAGATTGCACAATTTCTTTCGAAGAATGGCATGATAAAGTATGTTCGATATTATTATAGTTTTGGATTTTGGGTAATACATGTAAACTAACTAGGGAATTGTTTCCTGATAAAAGTTAAGCGTATATACACAATAAACTTGACTTGACTTGACTTGTGGACGTACATTGAAACCAGTGCGTGAAAGTTTGTTCATTTTAATAGTATAGGAAATGTATGGGAATATCGATAGTTTGGTAATGTCGCTAAATACTGCGATGAATATTAACTATTATTATTCGTTAAAATTTTTCTCCGTTTCTTATTGGCTTAAACACCGCTACTAATTCTTCATGACTAGCTAAAGTTGACAAAGGTGTTTGCCGATATCTGTAAAATTGACGTCACTTGTACAGATATCGACAGAAAAAGGGACAGCAGTACAAGGCAAGGTAGCTCAGCTATCTTGGCAGAGCAAGTATAATGAAGGAAGATTTCACTCGTTGTGCGAAGAAGAAATACCACTCAACCGATGGCAATTGCTATTTGAAGAATGTCTGCTAGAATTGAACATCTCTATATAACTTAAAACTTCTGAGGAGGAGGTTAATGGTTATGCGTTACATGGATAGAGTTATACATGTACTGTTGACTCAGTTGGAAATATTTTGAATGAATAATGAAATAATCATTGGATTCAGCTTCCGTATGATATGAAGAATTATGCAGATCAATGAGGGCGGTTATCCCTATTGGGCTTTCGATCGGCCTCGACGGATAACACCCTTCTTGATACGCATAATTCTTCATACCATACTGAGCCTCATCGAATAATTAGTAAATATTGGCAAAATAAATGTGAACTTACCTTTAATGTTGTGTATTGTCGTTCTTTTGAGCGTAAAAGGCGAATTTTTAGTACTCAAATGCTAAAACGCTTCCTTCCCATAAATTTAAAGCAAGCGAACGGTCACACACTTGTTATGGCCCCCTTGTGGATGCTGTTAGTTTATTTCATGCACTCATATTTTTATTTTGTCTTCAAAAAAGGCCGTGCGGGCCTTGCGTTCAAAGTGTCAAAATATGTAGAGTGCTGAGCTTTTTCAATAGATCGTTTTCAGTCACGTGGTCAGCAGCTTTGCAAATTGCTTGGAATAAAAGAAAATTCAATTCCCACGGGATTTTTTTTGTACACAAACATGGAAGCCGATTCTTTGTTTTGTACATATATATATGGCCGCGTGACGTCATGTGAAAACAGTCTATAAGATTATGCGTGTTAGAGTTTGGGTCAATCCTAAATGTCGATCAAGTCCAAAAAATGACATAGATGGCATATTTCGATTCACGCCTCAAAAGTCAGGCAAAAGTGCCCTGGGGATGAGGTTGATGGGGGAGTACCCCTCCAAGCATGCAACAGGGTGTGCAACTGGGAGTTGTTGGCCAATAATGTTGCGTTCGTTTTCCACGGGGCTTTATACCCACAATGAAATCCAAGCAAAGTACTTTTCCAATCAAATTCGTGGCTAGTAGTTTTCCAGCTAGTAATATTCCGACTAGTAAATTCCCGGCTGGTATTATTACCACTATTTTATTTTTATCCCGGCTAGTACTTTTCCGACCGAGTACGTAATAGTCTTGTGATTAATGCTAATCTATTTTTGTACCTTATTTACCCAGTGCACTTCGCTTCCTAGCCGACTTAACATTTCCTAGTTTGTATTTCAGTTAGTTAAAGTTCATAATATTTGTTTTTATACTACTACATGAGAAATTACTGCAATTTGATTGGCTTAGAGCAGTGGTATTTCAGCTTTATTTGAAATACCTACATGTGAAAATTACAAACCTTTTGTGGGTTTTAGTATAAACAAATAATAATAGCATGATTTGTACCGGATATTTGGCATAAATACTACTCGTGATATTTTAAAATTGTCTCAAATTTCACTCGCCTAACGGCTCTTGAAATTACGTATAACAATTTTGAAATATCACTCGTGGTATTTATACCAAATATTACTACAAATCATGCTATTACCTATACTAATTGAACTGACCAGGGATCATAAACATTTTTATTTGCACCCAAATAGATTTCTTTTCTTGTGAAATCACTGAACCTAACCATAACTGTCTCAATTCAAAATAAATGGCCGTGGCTTTACTTTTTAACCACAAAAGAGCAATAAATTTTCCCATTGGCGTAGAAAAAAGCGAAAGAACATGGAAAGATAGAAAGAGTTGTTTCGGTTTCAGCCATGGCGAAACAACAGCTGCCAGATCGGGAATATTATTCTCATCAGCTACGTATAAATTCAAAGTATAGCTCAGGCTAATCAGTTCATATGTGAGAAAAGCATCGGAATTCTTCTCGCGTTTTACTTTGGTTTCTAGCGATTTCTACTTGTACAGAGAGCTCTTTCGTTGATTACGTCTTGCACAGGTCCTATAATATGAAGTCTCTGACAGTTGCCGTCCTCGCAATCTCGGTTATCGTTCTGTTGTTACACGATGTTGATGCACGTGGACGAGGGGGAGGTGGTCGAGGAGGGTCTAGTCGTGGTNGCACTTCGCTTCCTAGCCGACTTAACATTTCCTAGTTTGTATTTCAGTTAGTTAAAGTTCATAATATTTGTTTTTATACTACTACATGAGAAATTACTGCAATTTGATTGGCTTAGAGCAGTGGTATTTCAGCTTTATTTGAAATACCTACATGTGAAAATTACAAACCTTTTGTGGGTTTTAGTATAAACAAATAATAATAGCATGATTTGTACCGGATATTTGGCATAAATACTACTCGTGATATTTTAAAATTGTCTCAAATTTCACTCGCCTAACGGCTCTTGAAATTACGTATAACAATTTTGAAATATCACTCGTGGTATTTATACCAAATATTACTACAAATCATGCTATTACCTATACTAATTGAACTGACCAGGGATCATAAACATTTTTATTTGCACCCAAATAGATTTCTTTTCTTGTGAAATCACTGAACCTAACCATAACTGTCTCAATTCAAAATAAATGGCCGTGGCTTTACTTTTTAACCACAAAAGAGCAATAAATTTTCCCATTGGCGTAGAAAAAAGCGAAAGAACATGGAAAGATAGAAAGAGTTGTTTCGGTTTCAGCCATGGCGAAACAACAGCTGCCAGATCGGGAATATTATTCTCATCAGCTACGTATAAATTCAAAGTATAGCTCAGGCTAATCAGTTCATATGTGAGAAAAGCATCGGAATTCTTCTCGCGTTTTACTTTGGTTTCTAGCGATTTCTACTTGTACAGAGAGCTCTTTCGTTGATTACGTCTTGCACAGGTCCTATAATATGAAGTCTCTGACAGTTGCCGTCCTCGCAATCTCGGTTATCGTTCTGTTGTTACACGATGTTGATGCACGTGGACGAGGGGGAGGTGGTCGAGGAGGGTCTAGTCGTGGTAGTAGTCGTGGCGGATGGAGCAGCGGGAGCAAAGGCAGCCGAGGAAGCAGCAGAACTAGCTCAAGTCGCCGTGGTGGTTCGTCTTTAAAGCTGAAAATTACCAAAACTACGCCAATAAAGCCGGTGAAGTTTTGTACTCCAGTGATCAAGTCTCAAGCGATACGTGGTTCACGAACCATACTATTCACCAGAATCGCGGCTGGTTTTCTCGTAACGAGATATGTACTGGCAAAAGCTCCAGTGTACTGGAAAGGATTTCCAGTCTATGGAAGATACATATCCATTCCCGAGGAAAGAGCGGTGAGGCTGTCGTCCGAAAGAGTGAGTTTACTGGACTCGAATGGACACTTATGTCTGAGAAACTCCTCAACACCTCCGACCCTGAAAGACGGACTTGAAAAGAACCTCTTGGAACTGAACACGACTGTGATCTACAAGACAAACCCGGAGAAGGTAACAATACTGTATGGTGTTAACAACACACTGATTTCACTGGAAGACATCAAAGACAAGAACTTCACAGTCACGACTCGTGCTCGATACAATGTCAAACTATTAACATGCATTGCTTTATCGTAAATGATTTTCCTATGAAGAGTGAATTACACTCAACTTGAATTACACTTCATTCTGGTCAGCGGATACCCTGTTTTGTCAATTGACTATGTATGATATGGATGTTAAATACATTGTATTAACTTACACGCAAGGTTGGCCACCTAGCTAATAAGTGTTACATTTCACATCAGCTTAAATATAAGAAACTTTGCGAACGAACGTACGATTACTTCATAACCAAAATTTCCTAGATGCAAAATCAAATCTTAGCCTTAGTGCGCCATTAATTACAATTTTACGAATATAATGTTGTATTTGTCAACTTATATTTCTGCTATTAAACGTATTTTACCACGTGCTGTTTTAATGAATTTATGCAACAAAAAAATTTCAAAAAAACCGTTTACGGGAGAAGAAGAAAAAGAAATTCAAGAAAATTACATTGCATGGAGCACAAGCTAAAGAAAGTGTGTTCCATTATATGAATTGACATACTTAAATGTCTTTTCACCAGAAAAAAGGTTATGAAAGAGTGAACTTTCTGACTAAAAAGATGAGAACATTTTTCCGTGCAACTATAAAGACAGTTGTTCTAAGGCAAATTAAAGCGAGGGCACGAACTTGGATTTCGGGACATGTATTCCCAATACTGATCTGCTTTTTCTGAACACCAAACCTATCGCCAATCACCGGCGTTATTTCTTTTAAAAGGTGCTTTTTGCTAAAAAAAATTGGGGTCCACATTTCGCAAAAAAAAAAAATTATCACCTTACAATTCAAATTATTTTATAATATTGCCGAATAATAGCAACAAAGTTTCTCTGAAACTAAACAGTTTGGAGACAAAGTTCGTATGGAGCAATCTTAAACGAGATGAAACTTGTTACGTGACGTCAGCTCGAACTAAAACATTTTTCGCATCAATTGAATTCCAAAATAATACAGAGGAGAAGTCGTTACGTCACGTTGCCACGGTAGCAAGTTTTCTGAATAACAACAAACTTAAAACGTTACTCAAAAAGTGAATACGAACTGTTTCAATCTTCATCGATCTTATTCAATTTCTTTTAATTTGTCAAATGTTGGCGACATTTTCTGGTGGTGAATCCGAAAGGACCATATCTAAGTTTAGAAAAAGAAAAAGCACCTTTTTGTGATTTGTTCTCCTACTCCATAAACCGCGCGCATGAAATTAGGAAGTTTCATGTCGCAGTCGTACAACCACGGCTAAGAAATGTGCAAAAAAGCGTGATGCACGTGCAAATTTGTTGCTTTGCTAATAAACCTATTGTTTTGTTTGCCGTTCTCTTTACCGTCGCCGTCGCCGTCGTCGTTGCTCACACTGCACGAAAAATTGGATTTACACAAATTTACTCGGTGTAAATATGGTGCAAAAAAGTGCAAACTAGGGGTAAATTAAAAGCAAAGATGGTAAATACCGCATTTGCTTGCCAGTGTACATATGGGGGGTGTAAATTTTAGGGCAAGTGCGGTATTTACCATCTTTGCCCTTTATTTAACCTTAGTTTACACTTTTTTGCACCAAATTTGCAGTGAGTAAATTTGGTGTAAATCCAGTTTTTCGTGCAGTGTCAAGTTCCCTATTGTTGTGATCCAGAAATTTTGCTACCATGGTAATGTGACGTCACACGTCCCCTCTCTATTGGACCAGTCTTGTTATCTAAGACTATATTTAGGCATTGAAACAGTTTCCTGTCGTCTGCTGCAGAGGGTGGCAAGATGAGCATGGATTGGGGCAAACTTTTCAAGCCTTACTACTATGCCTAGAAAAATACCCCCCAAAAAATTATAATAGTTAGTACTCCGAACCTTGTCTATATGATGAAATTTGCGGTTTGATCATATCTAATTCATAACTCTACAGGAGCTAAAACAAAACTGAATGCAAGGCTGACACTACGGCAAAAGGCTGATTTATTGGAGGCCAATATGTCGGCTGACAAAATTAGCCTTCTACAGGGAGGAGCATTTTTGTCCATGGGTAAAGGAAGTAATTAAGTAATAACATCAGCACAGAATAGACCTTGTCACGGTTTTCGACGCCATCTTCAGGGGCACTCAACGTCGGAACATTTATTGCAAAGTTTCTTGCTTGCCTCCCTATAATTTTTTGGATCACTAGGCTTTCAGCTAAGAAATCCGAACAGATGAAAATCTTTTAGGGGATAAAAATATACCTATATCTACCGGTTAAATACTAAAAAACGTTTAACAATGATATGTTTAAGTGGTTTTGAACTATATTCTCGTTGGGTGCCCCTGCATCTTGACGAGTACGCAAACGCGTGACAAATTACAGTGTCTGTATGAGAATCTAATGTAGAATAATTGCAATAAAACGACTGTTTTGAATCTAAAGCAAGCCTCCGGAGAAATTTAAGCACAGGTACCCCCCCCCAAAAAAAATTTTTTTAGTACAATCCTTTGCTTTGTAGCTTTAGTTTACAATTGATTTTTTTTTTTGAGAACAGCCGTTTTACGGAAATTATTCAACATTAGATTCTCATACAAACACTGTAATGCCTACTCGTCAAGATGGCGTCGAAAACCGTGACAAGGTCTATTGCTGACCTAAACTGCAATATCATCGTGACGTAGCTCCTTTGACAAATGACGGTCACGGTGTAAAACCACTATACGGACATGAATGACAATTCTTCAGGGAAAAAGAAAGGAAGACGAAAACTTAAACTTATTGTAACAAGTTAGAATTTCCTAGCAGACTACTCGCAAAAAAGTGGGCTTTTAAAAAGATTAAGTTCTTCTTTTTGATGTCTTCGGGTGAAGTTGTGTTATTTACGCCATCTAGTCTCGATATGCCTTCCGCCACATTTGTATTGTAAATTAACCAACAGTTAGGGCACCCAACGTCAATTTTCGGAAAATATCTGTTCGGAAGACGATCGGAGATCTAGAATTTTCGGAACATTTATTGTAAAGTTTCTTGCTTGCCTGCATCTTCTAGGATTTTCGAACATCTCATTGTATAATTGCCCATTTTTAAAGGATTTTTAGCCTGAAAAGGTGACCTAGAATTTTCGGGAGCCTTTTTTCTGGCTGAAATTTTCTGAAAAGTAAGATTTGATCCCCATCATTTTCGGATCACTAGACTTTCGGTTGGGAAATCCGAACCGATGCACAATTTTTAGGGGATAAAAATATGCCTATACCTACCGCTTAAATATCACTAAAATACGTTCAACAATGCTCTGCGTAAGTGGTTTTGAACTATGTTCTGGTTGGGTGCCCCTGAACAGTCATCTTCAGTGATTTCAGTTCCAACAGATTCTTTACTATTCTAATGGTTACTGGTTTAGAAGTCTGGCTAGGAGGTTCGTTTATGTAGAATTGTTTCGTATGCTCTGCATGCCGTGTGTATTCCCTCCTGTTGAGGGCTCGTTACGTCCACAAGTATGACGTCCGCCGGGACTTTCGTATTATGTACGATTTTTTGGGTGTTACGAAAACTATAAAGAACCTCGAAAACTAAGACCTAAGACCTAGGACCCGTCTTAGTTTTCGTAATCTCGAAAACTAAGACGGGTCTTAGGTCTTAGGTCTTAGTTTTCGAGGGTCTTAGTTTTCGTAACACCCCGATTTTTGTTGTTGTGTTATAGTCTAAAGGAGTTTGTCGACTAACGATGATAATTTCTATGTAGCGCCATCACACCCCTGGTTTCCTAGCAATGGTCCAAACCAACTAAATTAGAATTATACCAACCAGCAAAAACACTATCAAATCGTAGGCTACTTACACTAAATTCAACAGCGAAAACTGAAAATACCTGACAGTTCTCTGTCGAATTTGGTGGAATTTTCGCAGTTCGATCGAGTTTGTCATCCCTGGCTGCCGCTAAGCTTTCTAAACAGCTTGTGATGTCGACGAGGTTAATGAACAACTAAGTGGCCAAGCAGAGGTTAAAGAAGATGAAGAGACATCTCTTGGACCATGGCTTGGGCATTCGACCTCGTTGGGACGGACGCGCTCCCGAAACGGCGATGAGACTCCGACTAAAGTTCAGTAGTCAAACTGACATCTGTGAATAATTAACACATGCTTTAATATATATACTGTGCGCGAAGTCTAATAGCGTTGTTGACAGTAAAATGTCGCCATCGTGCAAATGACCTAGGAAAACTACATTTGTAGTTTTAAGCCAAGTCAAAATAAAATTACAAAACCTAGACGTATGTTTTTAAATTACTTACGAAGTGTTCAGAATACAGTACATGCAGTGTATCTGCAGCTATCTCCTACAGCAACAAAAACAACAGCACCCACAGATGAAAGCTAACACACATACCAACCCAATTATTAGAAAGATTAGTCTGATTACATGAGCAATATAATCGGGATTACTTTCGTACGTCTCAATCATTGTTCCATTGATTTGTTTTTCCACTTGTGTACAGTCAGTGTCTCTTAAGACCGTGACATTGTAACGAGTAAGAATCGTAACGGTGAAGTTCTTCTCTTTGATGTCCTCCAGTGAAATTGTGTTGTTAACGCCATACAGTATGGTTATATACACTTTCTCCGGGTTTGTCTTGTAGATCACAGTTGTTTTCAGTTCCACGAGATTCTTTTCAAGTCCGTCTTTCAGGGTTCGAGGTATTGAGGAGTAACCCAGACATAAGTTTCCATTCGCGTCTAGTAAACTCACTCTTTCGGACGAAATTCTTACGGCTCGCTTCTCAGGAATGGACACGTATTTTTCATAGACTGGGAATCCTTCACGGTAAACTGGAGCTTTATTCAGGGCATATCTCATTACGAGATAACCAGACGCAACTCTTGTAAATAGTTTGGTTCGTGATCCACGTATCGTTTGAGATTTGATTACTGGAGAACAGAATTTCACTGGTTCTATTGGCATAGTTTTGGAAATTTTGAACTTTAAAGACTCTGAAGTTGCCGAACACTTGTCCCAACCATGAACACCTCTAACATCATGTAGCAACAGAACAGCAAAAACCAAGATTACGAGGACGGATGTCAAAGTCTTCATGCTGTGGTACCTTGATAAAAGTTTCGACCTAATTCTAATACGCACTCGCAAAATAAACTGATCAGGAATTACAAAAATATGCAATTTATAGACAGCGGATAAGGAAAATATTTCAGGTACTTACACGTAAATTTAAAAAACAAAAAAAACCCTTGCACTACTTCCTTCTCTCCTGGTTCACACACTTTGTCCTTTGTTTATAAACCACGTGGTGACATCAACACGCTCGTTGTTCTACTATTAGTAGTAACCACAAAAGAGCAGTTATTTCCCAGTTGCGGAACTTAAAACCTATTCTCCTACCCAGATCACTGGCGGGGTACTCGTTTAGCTAAAAGATGGAGAATAGAAAATAAATTCTCCAGAAATATTGTCGACAATTTTTTCTTATTAAGTAAGGATCAATTTAAGGTTGATTTTCAATGAAGCGTTTTTTGCTACGTACGTTAACGCACACATGATTTTGAAGCGAAAGAAAAGGTGTGCGATGTCATATGGCTTTAACGTGAGAATGAGGCAAGAAACTTGTGTTGAAATGAGCGGTACCATCAAACTCAGGGGCACCCAACGGCTGTTTTCTGTGAAATATCGGTTCGGAGACGCAAAAATTGCCTAGAATTTTCTTAAGCTTGAGAAGGCTAAAAACTTCTTGATGACCGTTCCATTCATGTGCAATTTTCGAAGCTTAGCTAATAAATTCCCTACGGTTTTCTAAAGTTTAATTTTTCCCATTTCACTCCCAGGCTAAGCTATTTTTCGTAGAGAAAGGAAACCTAACTTTTTCAAAATCGAAAATGCGACTCAGAGAGGAATCAGAAAAATATCTTACTTTCGTAAAACTTTAAATTGCAGCTAGAATTTTCGGGAAAACAATATTGAAGCCCTTGTAATTTGTAAAAGACACAAGTAACCCTGGCCTAGGATGACCGAACAGATAAAATTTTTTAGCGCCACTTAGAATACATTTTTAGTGATCTAAAAGTACTCTGGATAGCCTAAAAAGTGTTTTCAATGCAAGTAGGAGGAAACCGTCGTTGGTTGCCCCTGCAAACTGCCAAAAGCAAACACTCGTCCCCAGAACCACTCCGCTTAATTTGTAACGAACCTAGACCACGTGACCGAGAAACGACTGGCTCTGGGGACGAGAAGGAGCAGCACTTTGCAAATTGCTTCATGTCATTTATTGCTTTAGTGTGTAAATAGTAGCTTGGTGGTCGTTCTGCCACAAATTTAATCTACCGAGTGGTGTAGTAACTCGGCGACCGTTGTGCCAATCAAAGTAAATCTACCCAAATGTGAAGCTCGGGGGCGCCTATTCATCCTGACTTGTGATATTTTCGGCACCGGACAAACCAACATTTTTTCAATTAGCTCTATGTTATTTATTCGCAAAAACTTATAAACCAGCCCACATGTAGTAGCGCCCCTCAAGTTACTCAAATCAACAAACTCAACCAAATTACTGAAATAGTGACTAGCTGAGTGAAGTGAGCACATACATTCCACTGAAGGCTTTGATGATCACTTACGTAAGTCTTAATTAGAATAGTACTATTACAAAGGAAGATGTTAAGTGAAAGAAAAAAAACGCACACTAAAATGCTTAAGTGTCACTACTCGACTGTGTGGTCAATGAAAAGTGTTGCAGTGTTGACGGTGGACGGAGCATTTGCCCTCTTTTTGCGTCCCTACCCCGGGAGATTTGACACTCAAGAGTCCTCACCTCCGGGAATTTGCCATTCAAGGCAAAAAAAATGCTAATGCCTGGGGGTCAGCCCGGGTTGGAGGGGGGTGAGGGACGCTGGGAGCACAGGTAGCCCAAGTTTACTGTGAGAACCCCGAACAACATTACTCCACTAAGCTAATTAATTATTCATACGACAACAGTTATAAGACGTTGTATAAAAATTTTCCTATTTCTCCATAATTGAGCGAAACGTACATTAAATTTTTCCTTTTAGTATTTTGTTACATTTATTTGTGTGTTGACTGCGTTTCAGGCCTGTTAGGATGCCAAGAACCCGAAAACAACACTACCCATCAAGCTAATTAATTATTCATACAGCAAGAAAATTATAAGACCTTGTATGGAGAAATATTCTTTGCTCACTAAATTAGCAAAATGTACATTGAATACCGCTTTAAAGCTCACCTTTAACGTCTAATTGTTTTTCTTTGTATTCTGACTGCATTTCAGACCTCCTAGGCACTGTTTAATGCTTTTTTTTGAGCGACAGTTTTTCACCCAGATGACAGTAGAGTACTGAAGTCCTATACTATACTATACTATTGGTTACTGGTTTAGAAGTCTGGTTACCTCATAAAGCCAGGTTCCTAACACACTGAGAGCCGTTTAGGGTATTGTTCTAGTAGTTGTGTTGGGATAGAGGGCTCGTTACGTCGTTACCTCCATTAAAACAAGTATGACGTCCGCTGGGACTTTCGTATTTTCTACGTACGACTTTTGTTGTTGTGCTATAGTCTGAAGGAGTTTGTCGACTAACGATGATAATTTCTCTGTTGGGCCATCACACCCCTGGTTTCCTAGCAATGGTCCAAAGCAACTAAATTAGAATTATACCAACCAGCAAAAAGACTATCAAATCATAGGCTACTTAGACCAAATTCAACATCGAAAACTGAAAATACCCGATAGTTTTCTTGTCGAGGTTAATTTATCAGACATGGTGGAATTTTCGCAGTTCGATCGAGTTTGTCATCCTCGGCTGCCAGTTGAAGCTTTGAAAACAGCTTGTGATGTCGAAAAGGTTAATGAACAAATAAGTGGCCGAGCAGAGCTTGGAGAAGATGAAGAGACATCTCTTGGACCATGGCTTGGGCATTCGACCTCGTTGGGACGGACGCGCTCCCGAAACGGCGATGCGACTCCAACTGAAGTTAGCCAAACTGACAACTGTGAATAATTAACACATGCTTTAATATATACACTATGCGCGAAGTCTAATAGCGTTGTTAACAGTAAAATGTCGCCATCGTGCAAATGACCTAGGAAAACTACATTTGTAGTTTTAAGCCAAGTCAAAATAAAATTACAAAACCTAGACGTACTTTTTAAAGTACTTACGAAGTGTTCAGAATACAGTATCTGCAGCTATCTCCTACAGCAACAACAACAGCACCCACAGATGAAACATAACAAACATACCGACCCAATTATTAGAAAGATTAGTCTGATTAGATGAGGAATGAAATCGGGATTAGTTTCGTACGTCTTAATCATTGTTCCATTGATTTGTTTTTCCACTTGTGTACAGTCAGTGTCTCTTAAGAGGGTCACATTGTAACGAGTAAGAATCGTAACGGTGAAGTTCTTCTCTTTGATGTCCTCCAGTGAAATTGTGTTGTTAACGCCATACAGTATGGTTATATATACCTTCTCCGGGTTTGTCTTGTAGATCACAGTTGTTTTCAGTTCCACGAGATTCTTTTCAAGTCCGTCTTTCAGGGTTCGAGATATTGAGGAGTAACCCAGACATAAGTTTCCATTCGAGTCTAGTAAACTCACTCTTTGGGACGAAATTCGTACAGCTCGCTCCGCAGGAATGGACACGTATTTTTCATAGACTGGAAATCCTTCACGGTAAACTGGAGCTTTATTCAGGGCATATCTCATTACGAGATAACCAGACGCAACTCTTGTGCAGAGTTTGGTGCGTGAACCACGTATCGTTTGAGATTTGATTACTGGACTACAGAATTTCACTGGTTTTATTGGTGTAGTTTTGCTGAGATTTGAGCTTGAAGTTACCCAACATTCATCCGCACCTCTAACATCATGTAGCAACAGAACAGCAAAAACCAAAATTACGAGGACAACTGTCAAAGTCTTCATGCTGTGGTACCTTGATGAAACGGCTTCGACCTAATTCTAATACGCACTCGCAAAATAAACTGATCACGAATTACAAAAATATGCAATTTATAGACAGCGGATAAGGAAAATATTTCAGGTAAATTTACAACCTCCCACCCCCTTCACTACTTCCTTTTCTCCTGGTACGTCACACACTTTGTCCTTTGTTTATAAACCATGCGGTGACATCAACACGCTCGTTGTTCTACCATCAGTAGTAACCACAAAGGAGCGGTAATTTTCCAGTTGCGAAACTTAAAACCTATTCTCGTACCCAGATCACTGGCGGGGTACTCGATTAGCTAAAAGCAAGAGAATATAAAATAATTTCTCGAGAAATATTGTGGACAACTTTTTCTTTTTAAGTAACGATCAATTTAAGGTTGATTTCCACTGTCGCGTTTTTTCCTACGTACCTTAACGCACACATGATTTTGAACCGAAAGAAAAGGTGTGCGATGTCATAAGGTTTTAACGTGAGGATGAGGCAAGAACTTTTGTTGAAATGAGCAGCACCATCAAACTCAGGGGCACCCAACGGCTGTTTTCTGTGAAATATCTGATCGGAGAAGGAAAAATTGCCTAGAAAGGTTTGAGAAGGCTAAAAACCTCTAGATGACCGTTCCATTCATGTACAATTTTCGAAGCTTAGCTAATAAATTCCCTACGGTTTTCTGAAGTTTAATTTTTCCCATATCACTCCCAGGTTAAGCTATTTTTCGTAGAGAAAGGAAACCTACATTTTCGGAATCGAAAATACAATGCAGGGAGGAATCAGAAAAATTCTCACATTCGTAAAACTTTAAATTGCAGCTAAAATTTTCGGTAAAATAATACTGAAGCCCTTGTAATTTCTAATAGACTCAAGTTGCCCTAGGATGACCGAACACATAAAAATTTTTTGAGCGCCACTTAGAATACTTTTTTAGTGATCTAAAAGTACTCTGGATAACCTAAAAAGTGTTTTCAATGCAATTAGGGGGAAACCGTCGTTGGGTGCCCCTGTCAGATTCCGTACTCCAGTAATCAAATATCAAGCGATTAGTGGCTCACGAACCAAACTGTTCACAAGAGTCGCGGCTGGTTATCTTGTAACCAGATATGTGCTCCAGTTTACCGAGAAGGATTTCCAGTCTATGGAAGATACGTATCCATTCCCGAGGAAGGAGCTGTGAGGCTGTCGCCCGAAAGAGTGAGTTTACTGGACTCAAATGGAAACTTATGTCTCACTCTGAGAAACTCCTCAATACCTCGGACCCTAAAAAACAGAATGGAAAAGAATCTGTTTGAACTGAACACGACTGTGATCTACAAGACAAACCCGGGGAAGTAATCAGAATGTACGGCGTTGATAACACAGTTTCACTGGAAGACATCAAAGACAAGAACTTCACAGTTACGACTCGTGCTCGGTGTAATGTCACAGTCGTAGAAAATACTGATTGTACCCAAGTGGAAAAGCAAATCAATGGAGCAATGATTTTTTTGTATGAGTTTAACCCCAATGCAGAAAACGACTATACGGGTATCATCATAATCGTAATTACTGCGGTTATTATTGTTGTTAATGGAGGTCCACCTCTGTGCATAACGTTATTAGATCGCTGTTGCTAGCCACGGCGTTATTAGATTTGTAGTTTTGTTTTTACGAGGCTTGAAAGTAGATCTCTAGTGTAGATTCCGCCGTCTTGTTTGACTTCCTCAGAGTAATTCTACCACACCGGTTTATTACTGACATCAATTGTATAACTCGCTCTGACGCGCATTATTACCCAAGTGGAACGAATGAACTTATTTTTTCCGTTCTACTTATATGTATAAGACCCAGTCCAGACACTATACCGTCCGAAATGGGGAGATTGCACAATTTCTTTCGAAGAATGGCATGATAAAGTATGTTCGATATTATTGTAGTTTTGGATTTTGGGTAATACATGTAAACTAACTAGGGAATTGTTTCCTGATAAAAGTTAAGCGTATATACACAATAAACTTGACTTGACTTGACTTGTGGACGTACATTGAAACCAGTGCGTGAAAGTTTGTTTATTTTAATAGTATAGGAAATGTATGGGAATATCGATAGTTTGGTAATGTCGCTAAATACTGCGATGAATATTAACTATTATTATTCGTTCAAAATTTTTCTCCGTTTCTTATTGGCTTGAACACCGCTACTAATTCTTCATGACTAGCTAAAGTTGACAAAGGTGTTTGCCGATATCTGTAAAATTGACGTCACTTGTACAGATGTCGACAGAAAAAGGGACAGCAGTACAAGGCAGGGTAGCTCAGCTATCTTGGCAGAGCAAGTGAAATGATGGAAGATTTCACTCGTTATGCGAAGAAGAAATACCACTCATCGATGGCAATTTCTATTTGAAGAATGTCTGCTAGAATTGAACATCTCGTTATAACTTAAAACTTCTGAGGAGGAGGTTAATGGTTATGCGTTACATGGATAGAGTTATGCATGTATTGTTGACTCAGTTGGAAATATTTTGAATGAATAATGAAATAATCATTGGATTCGGCTTCCGTATGATATGAAGAATTATGCAGATCAAAAAGGGTGTTATCTCTATATTGGGCTTTCGATCGGCCTCGACGGATAACACCCGTCTTGGTACGCATAATTCTTCATACCATACTGAGCCTCATCGAATAATTAGCAAATATTGGCAAAATAAATGTGAACTTACCTTTAATGTTGTGTATTGTCGTTCTTTTGAGCGTAAAAGGCGAATTTTTAGTACTCAAACGCTAAAACCTTCCCATAAATTTAAAGCAAGCGAACGGTCACACACTTGGTATGGGCCCCTTGTGGATGCTGTTAGTTTATTTCATGCACTCATACTTTTATTTTGTCTTTAAAAAAGGCCGTGCGGGCCTTGCGTTCAAAGTGTCAAAATATGTAGAGTGCTGAGCTTTTTCAATAGATCGTTTTCAGTCACGTGGTCAGCAGCTTTGCAAATTGCTTGGAACAAAAGAAAATTCAATTCCCACAGGATTTTTTTTGTACACAAACGTGGCAGCCGATTCATCGTTTTGTACGTATATATATGGCCGCGTGACGTCATGTGAAAACAGTCTATAAGATTATTCGTGTTAGAGTTTGGGGTCAATCCTAAATGTCGATCAAGTCCAAAAAATGACATAGACGGCATATTTCGATTCACGCCTCCAAAGTCAGGAAAACGTGCCCTGGGGATGAGGTTGATGGGGGAGTATCCCTCCGGGCATGCAACAGGGTGTGCAACCGGGAGTTGTTAGCCAATAATGTTGCGTTCGTTTTCCACGGGGCTTTATACCCACAATGAAATCCAAGCAAAGTACTTTTCCAATCAAGTTCGGGGCTAGTAGTTTTCCAGCTAGTAATATTCCGACTAGTAAATTCCCGGCTGGTATTATTACCACTATTTTATTTTTATCCCAGCTAGTACTTTTCCGACCGAGAACATAATAGTCTTGTGATTAATGCTAATCTATTTTTGTACCTTATTTACCCAGTGCACTTCGCTTCCTAGCCGACTTCACATTTCCTAGTTTGTATTTCAGTTAGTTAAAGTTCATAATATTTGTTTTTATACTACTGCATAAGAAATTACTGCAATTTGATTGGCTTAGAGCAGTGGTATTTCAGCTTAATTTGAAATACCTACATGTGAAAATTACAAACCTTTTGTGGGTTTTAGTATAAACAAATAATAGCATGATTTGTACGGGATATTTGGCATAAATACTTCTCGTGATATTTCAAAATTGTCTCAATTTCACTCGCGTAACGGCTCGTGAAATTACGTATAACAATTTTGAAATATCACTCGTGGTATTTATACCAAATATTACTACAAATCATGCTATTACCTATACTAATTGAACTGACCAGGGATCATAAACATTTTTATTTGCACCCAAATAAATTTAGTTTCTTGTGAAATCACTGAACCTAACCATAACTGTCTCAATTCAAAATAAATGGCAGTGGCTTTTACTTTTTAACCGCAAAAGAGCAATAAATTTTCCCATTGGCGTAGAAAAAAGCGAAAGAACATGGAAAGATAGAAAGAGTTGTTTCGGTTTCAGCCATGACGAAACAACAACTGCCAGATCGGGAATATTATTCTCATCAACTATGTCAGGGGCACCCAACGAGAATATAGTTCAAAACCACTTAAACATAGCGTTGTTAAACGTATTTTAGTATTTAAACGGTAGATATTGGCATATTTTTATCCCCTAAAAATTTTTCATCTGTTCGGATTTCCTAGCTGAAAGTCTAGTGATCCGAAAATTATAGGGATCAAAACTTACCTTTTCGAAAATTTCAGCCAGAAAAAAAGGCTCCCGAAAATTCTAGGTGACCTTTTTAGGGTAAAAATCCGTTAAAAATAGGCAAATATACCATTTTTTGGGTGTTCGAAAATCCTAGGAGAGTCAGGTAAGCAAGAAAAATTCTAGATCTCAAATCGTCTTCCGAAAAGATATTCTTTCGAAAATTGTCGTTGGGTGCCCCTGCTATGTATAAATTCAAAGTGCAGCTCAGGCTAATCAGTTCATATGTGAGAAAAGCATCGGAATTCTTCTCGCGTTTTACTTTGGTTTCTAGCGATTTCTACTTGTACAGAGAGCTCTACTGTTGATTACGTCTTGCACAGGTCATATAATATGAAGCCTCTGACAGTTGCCGTCCTCGCAATCTCGGTTATCGTTCTGTTGTTACACGAAGTTGATGCAAGTGGACGAGGGGGAGGTGGTCG